CCACAGTAATGAAGACACGGCAGGACCACGCAGAGTTTCGTTCCGTTACAGGTCTCTGGAGCCGACTGGCTGGTAGCTAACAGCAGCCAGTTTCTCTGTAAACATTTGCAGAACAGGGCTGGAGGGGCTGGTGGTCAGGACCCTAAGCCGCGTGGTGAGCTCTCCCACACTCCCAAATTGGCTGCTGCAAATTCCTAGGAGGCTGAGGCAGAGCTGAGAAGGAACTTGGCTTTCTGTCCAGGAGGTCCTGGAAGCCCACCATCCTCACAGTCACTCTGCCGCCACCCCCTACACACACACGATATCACTTGAGGTTCTCATCCCAGCAGCTTCCGCCCTCGTCCTCCAGATGGTTGAATCGGACTCTCGGAGGAGTGCCATCACCTCCTCAAGGCCACCGCTCAGGGCTGGGCCCAGACTCCAACCTCGGGCCGCTGACTGGTCCTGGAATTGCTGACGGGGTTGTCACCTGCTCCATCTCCACACAGAAGCAGTGGTCACATCTCTCTCGGGGCTGGCGCAGTCCACAGAAGGCAGAGGGTGTGAAAAGGACTCGTGATTCCTCCGTGGCTGTGGCAACCGCTCGTCATTGGGATGGGACGCGCTCTGGGTGACCCTGGTGACGCTGAGGTGTCAACATAACAGCATTCTGTTTCCATCGTAGAGACAGTGCACGTTCATCACAGAGAATCTCGGAGCTGCGGCAATGTGGGAGGACGAGGGGATGGCCTCTGCGGGTCACCCCTTGTTTGCTTATTAACCTGCTCGGATTCGCTGCCCCTGTAGTTGAAACACTGTACGCACAATTTTATATCCTCATCTTTCCTTTCCTAAAAAAGAAACCCACAGAACAGTGGTCAGGGAGTTGACCCCCACTCGGGGACACACGGGTGTCAGCAGACCTGTGCCGCATGGGCTGTCGGGGGCCCTTTCCGGGAGTAGGTTGCAGGCCTGCCTTCTGCCTCTGGGTGAACTCCAGCCTCCGCCGCTCGTTAGCTGCCAGGCGCCACCCAGCGGCTCCTCGGGGTGAAATGGTAAGACCCGCGCCACAGGCAGGCCCCCAGCTCTGCGGGGCGGTGGCACGGGCTCCAGTAGAGACATCCCTGGGTGCTGGGGCCAGGGCAGGCGGCCACAGAGGGCCGGCCCGTTGCTGCCTCCATGCTCCGTGGCACCTGCAGGGCTGCGTACCTCGTCGTGTGTCGTCTCTGTAAGTCAGTGAAGTGGCGGCACTTCTGTCTTGAGCCAGTGCCCAGCCCGTGAGCCCATTCCCAGACCACCGTCGCTGCTCTGTGTCTGCCCGAGCGTCCCCACCCGCGGCTGGAGGTCCGTGCAGGTGAGGACCGCCTCTCAAGGCGTTGATGGAAAAAGGTGAGCGTGTCGGGTGAGCAGGTGAAGGCGCCTCCCCGTGCAGGCACCTTTCAGGCTGGGACCTCAGCGGGCGTTTCTGCCGTGGCTGGGCGACCGCCATGGACAGTAGAAGTGCCGGAGGGAAACCATCGCGGGCGGTCCGCGTCTGGTGCGTGAGGATAGTGCTGTGGAAAAAGACACTTTATTTTTTAGAGCAGTTTTTACAGAAAATTTGTTCCGGACGCACGGAGTTCTCACTGGGCCCTTTTCCCCTGCGCGGGATGGGCCTTGGCGGAAGTTCCTAGTTTGTTTGTTACAGCTGATGAAGCGGTATTGATACATTGTTGCTAATTACATCCACGGTTCACTTCTGGCTCGCTGGCTCGCTGGCTCTGGGTCGCCCAGCCCCGTGGGTTTGGCAAACGCGTCGTCATACATCCACCAGGATAGCCTCACAATGAGTAGTTTTCCTGCCCTGGGAACGCCCTGTGCTCCCCTGTTCATCCCTCTGCTCCCCTGAGCCCCAGACCTCCCTGACCCTTTCATTGTCTCTATAGTTTCGCCTTTTCTAGACCATCCTATACTCACTGCTGTGGGTTCGATTCTGACCCACAGCGCCCCAAGAGGACAGAGTGGAACTGCCCACAGGGTCTCCAAGGCTGTCAATCTTCACAGAAGCAAAGCCCAAACCACACCCACTGCCGTGGAGTCCATTCTGACCCGCAGCGCCCCTAGAGGACAGAGTGGAACTGCCCACAGGGTCTCCAAGGCTGTGAGTCTTCACAGAAGCAAAGCCCAAACCACACCCACTGCTGTGGAGTCCATTCTGACCCACAGCGCCCCTAGAGGACAGAGTGGAACTGCCCATAGCATCTCTTTTCACTCAAACTCACTGCTGTCGAGTTGGATCCGACTCACAACAACCCCTCCTTGGGTTTCTGAGGTGGTATCACTATGGAAGTAGATTGCCCAGTCTTCCTTCTGAGGAGTGGCTGGTGGGTTTGAACCGCTAGCCTTTTGGTTAGCATTCAAGCGCCTTAGGCACTGTGCTACCAGAGCCCTCTTCAGGGGTAATCTTTACACAGGCAGATGGCCAGGTCTTGCTTCTTCGGAGCGGCTGGTGGGTTTGAACCTCCCACCTGTTGGTTAGCAGCCACGTGCCTCAGTGGCCACCCCCCAGAGCTCTGTGCAACATGCAGTAGTTGGAGTCACACAGCGTGGCCTCCAGCCTGGCTCCCCTCACTCAGCATGGGTGTGTACGGGTCCTTGTGTCTTCTTGTGACTGGTGGCCCACGCTGCGTCCTCACTGAGCGAGCCTCATCGTGTGGACCTGGTTTATCCGTCTACCTGCTGGGGGGATCTTGGTGGCTTTACGTTTGGGGCAGTTATGGGTAAGGATGCCGTGGTGTTCCCACCCGGGTGTCTGTGTGGACGGGCAGCACTTTCTGAAGGCCGGTTGCAGACGGGCTCAGGGGAGGAACGTGGCCACGTGAACTCGAGGGAAGGGCGGGGTGACTGCACAGCACCGAGGAAGACGCTCCAGGAGGAGGGCGGGCTTCCGGGGGGCGGAGCCTGCCTTTTGAGACTAGAGTCTGGAGTGGACAGCGAGGCGGAGAGGAGGCTGAGGAGCCCCGTGGCGTGGGACGGCCAGCCTGCGTCCGTCTGGGTCTGCAGTGCGCTGATGCAGGCGTGCCTGGGCTCGTGCACGGGGCTCCTGCTGCCCCGGGGACTCTGAGCGAGCCTGGGCGTGTGCCTCCCCGTGACAGAGGCGGACAGCCAACCCTGGCAGTGTCCTGGAGTGCCCAGTGCAGGAAGCAGGCTGCAGCGGCTGCGGGGGCCACAGGGCACGCTGGGCTTGGGACCCTGTCAGACTGTGGGCTTTACTCAGAGGGGCGCGGGGGGGCTGCTGTGATGGGGCTTCACTTGCTGCCCCTGGAGGCTCGACTGCAGCCAGTGAAGGCTCGGGGAGCGATCGACTCGAGGTGCTGAGAAGTGGGTTCTGGACGCTTCAGAGGCTGGGGCCATAGGGTCAGGGGTGGGCATGGGGAGGTCAAGGGTGATGCCCCACACTGGTCAGAGGGAGCAGAGGGTGGCTCTGTCCCTGCGCTGGGCTGCACAGTGGGGAGGTGGGGAGGGACCTGGGGTGCAGCGTGGGGCCTCTGGAGGGATGAGCAGGGAGCTGCAGAACCATCCCAGAGTCTGACCTCCCCTGGTGGCTGTCAGGAGCAGACTTG